CTCGGTGAATCAAAATGCCATGATTGATGGCATTTTGATTCACCGGAAGTAAGCCTAAGAGCTGAAGTAGGAGTAAGAAATAAAATGGATTTATTTCCTTACTCCTACTCCTTACTCCAGCTTACTCCATGTATTGTAGACCAGCCTTAAAGAACTTGTAGATTATCAAATCCCTTTCAAGGGATTTGATAATCTACAAGTTCTTTAGAGGACATTGCAACTTAAAATGTATCAATTGCAACATGAAATCAGTCAGATTACGAGCCAAGTGGAATTTTTTCACACATTTTTAACCATGTCAATGCGTTTGATCAATAATGCATTAAACGATATTTTTTTATGAAAGAGTCATATGAATTTACAAACATAAAAGAGGCCTCAGTAAAGCAGCCATACCAACCGCTCCTTCGTGCAGGAGCCACCTCAATACAGTAACGAATTAACATTGAAAGTCCCGCTTATTGTTAGCGCACGAAATCGTAATACCTGATCTCGTTTGTATCACGGTCGACGTGCGCGCTCCTGAAAAATCCCTTCGACTTTTCACGTAGCGGGATCGTATATTTTATGCGCAAAACGTAAATCTCCCTCGCTACCAGTGCATGTAAAAGAAAGACGTCGATGAAGTCCTCCTCGTCCGTTACAAAGTACGTGCTCGTTAACTTTGGTGCGTTCGGCGAGCGGTATTCCTTCACGCTAACGTCTTGTATGAGGAGCTTACGGGCGTGAAGTCGTATGTGCTTGGTCGGCACCTTGGAATAGAGCTGGATCTGCGCGTCGCCGATCATCGTGAAATTTTTCTCTTCTAACACGGGCAGTATTTTCAAACTGCAGCGAAGAGAAAAGGAATTGCGATGCAATTATTAAAAACTGCCGCGATCAACGTTCCCGTCGTTTTCCGATTATTTTGCTTATTTCAAGAGTGTACTTTCATCGTTTTTATCATTGCGTTCATCATTGTATTGGTTCCAAATGCTAATATCCCATTTTCTCGCTATTACACCACGCCTAGTTTCTAATATTAATCCTAGCCTGACAAGCGAAGCAAATGTGAGATTATAATAAGTGCCGCAAATATTTTAGTTTAAGTCTGCAATGTCAATCACCGATGATAGATCGCGGCGGAAGTCGATGTCAATCAATGACTAACACAGAGCGATAAACCTGTCAATATAACGAATTATCTCAACTATAAATATAAAATAAGAGAAAACGGGTTTAAGCAGCCTTCTTCCTTTGTCAGGCCAGGCTTTGGTGTTCGCAGAGTCTTTGAAATTTGAGAAAATGGTCAAAATGGTCGAAGATCGCGGCGGGCAAAATATTTTCGCCTCTTTGTTTCTAATGTTTCAGTGACCGAAAAGATCACGGGAGATATATCGTTGTGCTTACGTGTATTCTAACGGTAAGACCTGATCGGACAGTCTCTCCAAATGGGCCATTTTACGAGACTTCCCACCGGTCGACCCCCTGCGTCTACCATCCCGCCGATTTTCCATGCTCGAACTGACGAACCAGTAAATGATCATCGAACCGACGCAAATGAGTATCATCACCGCGATTCGCGTTCTCACTTGCCATCCACGATGCCTGCCGTAAGCCGGGATTTCTGAAGCATTTTTCCATCGGTCACAGAATTTCGTTTACATGCGTTCAGCAAAACGTTAATAGCAAGCTTTGCAGCGATTAGTTTCCAATCAGCGCCTTTGTCGTCTGTAACTTCGATTAGAATCAACGTAGTTCGCCTTTGATTAAGCCGCATTAACTTCATTTTCACGAGAGAAACAATTACTCTGCGATTTTTATGAAAACACCGCGTACAAGTCGTCGCGTACGATTGATTCTACGCGTTTCGAATGCGTTTCTTGCACGTGTATAAACCGCATCTTTTAACGAGTTCTCCGTTCGACGCAGACCCGCCTTTACCTTGCGTTGGATTCTCCTCCATGCTTGCCGGCGAAGGGGTGCTACGCTCCCGCAGGATCTAGCGATCGAACGAGCATCGCCACAACGCGGATAACCGGCGGCTACTGCGTCCGAAAAGCCGAAAACGCGTCAAGGGCTCGTGGTTCGGCCAGACACGTTCGCCAAAAATACACCGGGAGGCACTTGTACATTTCCCTCCTCTGTACTTTACTCCGACGTTTACTGTCGATCGCCGATTCGCCTGGAACTTTTTCGCGGGCCGCCGTGACGAGTGCGCGTCTCGTTATGCAACGCGTCGTCAAGAATACACAAGCAGCGCCGTGATATCGCGCTTATAATTTATAGGCTTCCGGTAAATAGCTGAGGAGGAAGTTCAGGGTCATCTCGTCCATCAATCATGAAGAGCGAAACAGATGGAATTGGCTGGCACCAAAAAACAATTCGTTAATCCCGAAATATAAGCGGAATGCTACAAACTTGAGGGTAATAAACGTTTAATTAGACACCTGTGAAGACTATGTTAGCTGATTAATCGATTTTATTTCAAACCAATTGCTCTACTTGTGTGAAAATTTAACTTTATGAACTGAACAGATTTTCTCACGAGTGAAAAGTGTAAGCATTTTTATGAATTATCGCAAGTGCAATTTTTCACAAGTTATAAAAGGACTCTTTTGCTGTCAATTGTTATTTAGCAACTTGTAATTATCCGTGATTTTTGCGTCAACAGTTAATTCGTTCAGTGGCTGGATAATCGCGAGATGTCACACGTGGGTGTCTAATGTATGCTTGATGTGCTGCGACTGTGGCCCGTAGATATGTCGGCATTAGCATCTAACTTTTGAATTAGTTGCATGAGAATCCTTGCTCGGCTGCTGATGAGAAAGCCAGACACCTACACTCGAACGGCAGACTGAACCCGCAACAAGTGTTCATTGTGGGATTTTACTTTTTTCATCTTACGTCCCACGAAACTTGGAACTTAGTTTCACGAGAAAAAGGCATTGGTTTATGAGATATTGTCTTCTCGAAGCATCCCCCTTCAAAAATAATACTCGTGGGAAAAGAAAGCTTCTGTCCTTGATAATTCAGTTATTAAATAAATTAAGTTCATCATGTCATTTAAAAAAATAGGATCAATCTGAACAGTATTGATCCTTGCGATCGTAATAATTCTTTTCTTATGGAGCAAAAGCTCTTATTTCTCGAGGAGTGTGTCGAATTAGAAAGCTAGGCATTTTGACCGAAGTTTAATTTCAGTTTGAAAGTTTTTTCGTCTTTAAAGTGTACTGCATATTTGAAAACTTTATATATTATTTAAAAAATATATTAATATACAATTCCTAGTAAATATTACAAAGTTTTGAGATCGCTTGAGAGACGTCTAAGATTTCAGAGACGTCTCTTGAAATGATTAGGAAGGTAAATGTCTTTGATACATTGCTTTAACATATCTTTTATCTTAAGATAAAAATTGCCTAGTGAAACTATTGCTTACAATTAGTGGTATGCAATTGAATATCAAATGTAAATAGCTGTACATGTTAAAAAAGTATCTTGTAAAATGTAATTAAGAAAATCTTGAAGATTTCTTTCAATATCTTTTAACAAAATTATAAAAATGTCTACAAAGTAGATATCAACCGAATCACTATGCAAATATTTATCATTCTTTCTCTAGACGCTACAGAGGTATCTCATCTTTCTTTAGAGGTGACAAAAAACTACAACTAATGTAATAATAATAATGTCGGGTCGTTCTTTATAATTTTGCGAATTAAATTAGCGTCTTAATTTTTGTTATCCCGACACGGAAGCTGTTGAGGAAACTAGCTGCAACACGTGAAATTCGGGAAACGCCCTTCCGAGCGGGCGTTCCCGTCCTCGCAGACCGCTCGGCACCGCTCCGTGGCTAGAAGTGTCTCGTGTTTCAAGGAATCTCACTTCCTGCCGAGAGCTGAGTGCCTCGGCGAGGTGGCGGGCCTCTCGTCGCGGCCTCTCTCGCGTACGTGCGAGCCACATTCGGAGGGGGTGCGAGCGCTCAAGAGAGAAAGCCAAACAATACCGATGACTAATGGAGACGCGTGACCCTCGAGAAGGAGTCGACCCTTCGAAACGCCGCGCCGGGGTCCGGCCGGTGCCCTGTCCACCCATTCTCTCACTCTCGCACGACCGTCACCTTTTGCTCCATCTCTTTCTCTCTTTACTCCTCTGTTTTCTTAGGTGGGCTCCTACTGAGATTGACTTACGCTCGTCATTGACGGAGTAATGGCCATCCTCAATGAAGCACCGACGAAATTGTGAATGAATCGGCACGACAGAGAAAACAGTTTTATTTCTTTTCTCTCCATCTTTTTTATCTTCGTCGATTTCTGATGACAGCAGGGTTACAATTTAAATGCTCGAGCCCGTATTCTTAACATGCATTACTGCTATTAATATGACTTTAATTATTATACGAATAGTTAATTTATTGGTTATGCTATTTAAAAAAGCGCAGTGTTGATATTAATAAGAGTGGCCAATCATTCAACGTTAAATATGTCACAAAACGCTCCTAATATTATGTCATGTATGGTTTAAATTATTTTATGCGAAAATTGTTCAAAATTGTATCATAAATTAATCGTTAAAATCTTTTCAAGTAATATAAAAAATAATCATCTGTAATTACATTTCTTCAACATAATTTTATTAATAATATTCTCTCTGTCAAAGAATTAAGAAATTAATGATATTGACAACTTAATATTTGAATGAGTTAGTCTATAAATTAATGAGAAACCAGTTAATCTTATGTGACAATACTGAAGAAATAAAAGCACTAATTTTATACGATAAGACAAGTTGTGAAAATATTAAAAGAATTTTCTTGAAGTCCTGCACAAGTTAATTGATAAAACTGTGCTCGCAAAAGTCAAATAATTAACTTTCTTTGCTCAGCATATCATTTTACGCGATAAATTTCTGTCCTCCTACTAAATTTTTTTTTAATGTAACATTTGTGACAACCGAAACGAATGATTTCTTCCTTTCTAATGTAGCATGACATACTTGTCTCATAGTCGGAAGTTAGTATCATATTTCAAGATGGGGGAGAAGTCCGGATCATATTTGAACGATGCGGCGATGGTGCTAAATGCGCGTAAATAAAATATAAACAAATATATTTTAAAACCTGAAATTATTAATTATTTAATGATATGATTTAATTGTTCGAAATATGAAACGTTTATTACTAATAAAAATACAAATTAGTTTCATTATTTTATATAATCTTTCTATTATTTCATTTCATATAATTTCAAGACGAAAGATATAAAAACGTACTTTAAAATGTGTTTTAACTTTACGAAGTAAGTTTCTGAATGTTTAAAATAAATTTTAGAACATATTCTAATTATTTGAAATACAATACATTCCCAATTGACTGTTACTTGTCTCGTTCGACATTTATGAAACACATTACCGGAAATTTAGTGGCACTCGGATAAAACAATTCGCAAAAACTGCGCTTCGCATACGATAAAATTCTCTTAAATTCCCGGCAAATGTACAGCTCGGGCAAAAACGTCAGCGGCCGCTCCGTGTGTCACCATTTCGAATTCTTTCGCGAACGCCGGGCCTCAGCCACTTTGGCTGAGAGGAAACGATTCACGCCGAGGGATTGGCCAAAAAGTCCACTGAGAAATGACGAATACTCCAGAGAGCTTCCGTGGCCCTACTCCTACGACTCTCCTCCGCGACGTTCTCCATGACATTCCCTATGACGGCGCCGTCACATGTGCTCGTTTGACATTTCCGAGTAGGCACTAACGCAATTCGCACCCGTCCGCGCGCGGAGTGAATCTACGGTGAACCTGTGCTCGCTTATTAACGAGAGATAGTGATAATTGATAGATGTTACATATCTGTCCATTGTGATGTAAATTCAACGTTGTCCTGAAATAATATTTCAGCGCAACTTTACGAAACTTTACACAATCTTACCAATAAAGTAGATGCAAAAAACGTAGAAAGTACGAGCAAAGATATAAAAAAAAGAGGTGTTGTCTAATATTTAATAATCCGTCTCTTTTATAACGGCCGATAAGATTTTGTCTCTGAACAGATACAAGTGTAATTAGAATCTCGCGTGTTCCTCCGCTGTTTTTTTACAAGTGTAAATGAAAAGGATAACAGAGTAAAGAGAGACAGTAAATGAATAATCGGTGAAAAATTATTGCGAGCTTGTTTCGCCGATTGTTTCGATCTTCCCATCGTCAATCCTGACCAAAGAGGCTCGCATAAAGAATTCGCAAATTGACACGCTAAGGCTGTCAGAATCTTTATTCGTTGCTATGTCGTGGTCGCAAGATACGATTGCGAACAGCCATCGGACGTCCGACAATTTCGAATTACCGCCGACACCGCCGACACCGTCGTCTCTCCATGCGGAAGGGCAGAGCGCGAGAACGGCAACAGGTTGCGAGACAACGTGGTATCACAGGTGGTCCTGGAGCAACCCGTCGCATCCTTGCAACGGATTCGACATCGCGACCGACGAAACCGCTCGTTTCGTTCCGTCGCCTTACATCGTTAATTTTCTTCAAAACACGGATAACAATCAGAATTATCGCACGTGCAGGTAAGAAAAGATGTATCTGACGGACGCGCCGCGTTTAATTAATATTTCCTCTGGCGCCTCATTTATTCAAGTATTTTAGTAAACATAAGCGAAAAAGGAAAAGAGCTAATGCGTGCCAAGCGCAGACAATAAGACGCGATGATTGATTTTTTATTTAATGTATAATATCTAAGAAAATTTCCTCAAACGTTTCGGTTCTTTCTTTGAACCTTCTTTAATGAGGTAACTATGGAAGGGAATAAGACGGTCATGTTACAAACTTGGTACGGAGAGATTGTCGAAAGAATATAAAAGTTAGAATACGTACAGTTGTATGAAATACATCCCGTAATTAGTGAAAATAAAAACAATTCTTTAAAGACAGAACATATTTCAACGTTTATACTGCAGCGTTACTGAGATATTAATCTAGTCACTACATTTAGTAAATAAGTTAAAAAAATGTGCATTTGCATTCTGAAGAACATATATTCAAGAATCTCACTTTAATTAATAGCGGCTTTGGAAGCTTTGATTATAATTTGTTATCTCCCCGAAATAGATAAAGTTTATAATTTTCGCTGCCATAATTGTTTCGCGTGCTATTATTACGATGTACACGTTACATAATTGCATATAGCTATATATATATTTAATTTTCCTAAGATGGGAGCAATATTCCCAGCAAGATGCCGCAGATTGTCAGCCGATAATCGAGCAATTGAGCGGAAAGGAAGATGAGAGGCCTTTGAGCAAGCCTGAAAATTTATTATACGAGAATAATCAAGATCGCCGTGTGACGACTACGACAAACGCGGGAACAACGTTTCGCACTTGGGATATGCCTCATTTGCAGAACATGGACCGCGAGCACGAGAGCAAGTATCAATCTTGGCAGAATTCGCAACGTAATGAGAATCAGACAAATTCACTCCTCGGAGAAAATACGCGTCCGCATCAACGAGGTATAATACACTACTTCTTCATCAATAAACCCGAGAAAGAGAGACAGCCTTTTTTCAAAATCTTAAAATCTGCAGTAAAGCTACACGGAGAGAATTTTCTCTTAAAATTTATCTCGAAAATCCAGGGTTGGGTAAGTTATCTTTTTTTTGTTAACTAATTGTAAGTTAAAGTTAACAGTCTTGAAAATTTAACTTATTGTTAGTTAAGGTACAAGTTAATTCGTAATACAATTAATTGAAGTAAAAGTTAAGTTAATAATAAAAGAAATTAAAAAGTTCAAAGTTAAATGTTTTAATGACACAATCGCGGGACTACACAGCATTTCGAACAATTTTATGAGTTTTGTAAAATTTTACCATACATTGTACCAGTAATTTTGCTAGTAAAATGTATGGAAAAATTTTAGAAAACTCAGAAAGTTCTTCAAATGCCACGTTGTCCCTCGATTACATGATTTTCACAAACTAAATTTTAAGAGAAAATTCTCTGTGTACTCTTTAACAGTCAATCAGTGGATCATCACAGAAAACAGTGAATATTCACTGGTTCACAGTTTATGAATTATTCAGTGCTATACTTGTAACTGTTTTCAGTGACAATACACCGAGTGACTTTTAGAGAGTATATTAAATAAAAATAGCATTAAAGAAATTCTATGAAAAATGTTCTGCCATTTAAGTAGAAATTAATTAGAACTTGCTGAAAACTGGATTTAATTTCACTTGAATTATTCTGGAGCAACAATCAAGTCGTTGTTATACGAATTCTACTAGCCGTGCACAGCTGCGCGTAATAAATTAGCTCGAAACTTTCCGAGTCGTAGCTTCGACAGATTTCCGACGTAAATCATTGACAATACAGTTGGGAGCTTTATGTCTTTAGTGTCGCCAATGCGGCCATAACAGGCCCAGTACAATCTAAATGTTTATCGGACGTCTAACTGCATCGAGTATACATCTTGCATAATAAACGCCATGTATTTCTAGTTATTGCACTGATACTTCATGTATTCTGTCTATACTGCTAAATCTGTTGAAAATAGCAAATGAAATTACGTTGAACACTGTTTATCGAATACGAACTGAGTAAAATAAACGTAGAAGTCATCAATAAAACTAAAATTAACTAAAATTAAAATCAGGCATTTTTTTCGCCATTACAGAAATCCAACGTCTTGATTAACGTTACACGAACATTATTGTTGCATATTAAACATTCCGCTAAGAAGGAAAAGTATTATGGATAACGACGGGCCTCGAAGTCGGCGAAAAGTGGCTAAGATTAATTCTCCGATCCAATCCACGTGTTTTATTTCAAACACTTTTATCTCGCATATCGAGAGGCGTAGCTTTATTTATGATACAACATTCTGATGACTTTTTCATTTGGTGATTTCTCTGGCGGTCACTTTCACGTGTAAAAAGAAGTGATGCGCTTCAACTTATGGATACTGACATGTACGCCATATTTTTATCATATGAACGTCAATGTGCATTAAGTCATCCCGATTTTGCAAATTGGTAGCATCAAAATGTACTACTTCGTTTGATGTTACTCTCGTACTCTCGATACTGGCCATCGATGTGGACTACGAGAGATCCCGCGATTGACGTCAGCAGGCAATTAGAGTCGAGATAGCGGCACGGAAGCAAAGTTAAGGGCCGAGAGAGAGAGAGAGAGAGAGAGAGAGAGAGAGAGAGAGAGAGAGAGAGAGAGGAGGAGGAGGAGG